TGGGAAACTTTCAACACCTAGATAGGAGTAGCGGCTCTAGAGTACGAGTATTTCTTTATTGTTGTTACGTGTTGTCTTAGTTTTGGGGTTAAAGTTCCATGGCTCTCCAGCCCAGTCGGTTTTGCGTCGTTGTCATAAACTCAGCCATACATCTGTCCCCTGTTTAATACTTCTTGTCTGTTTTTATTTACTTGTTTCGGTGTCTTGATCGCTCGCCACTTCTTTGTTCTTCTACTCTGTTGTCGAGATTCTTTAATGCCTCTTAATGTGTCTAAAATAATAGCATGTGAGTATCGGGGTGAAATCGTCAAAATAGTAAAATCAAAGAAGCCAACTTTTTTTTGCTCATTTGGACGTTTTTATCGATATGTATTTTACTTTTTGGCTCAAACACCTGGTCCTTATATGTCTATTTAAAATATTATGTTTTTGTGGACTTCACTAAAAAAAAAAATTAAATAAAGGCACAAACAATGTAATATGACGGTTTTCATTTACCCTGAAGCTTTCTTTGTCACCAAAGTTTGACGGCTATTTTGTCGCTAATTTACTTCTGTCAGCCAGCAACCCCCTCCTCCTTCAAACATCAACATCTCGAATTCTATTCAAGATAGATGGGTGTTTTTCCTTCCAAATCAAGACAGGTAACCACGTTTTAAGATGGCGTGAATAACTTTATATGCCCAATAATAAATTATGAGTCACGACGTGGTGGATTCAGGCGCTAGTCAATTTGTTGGGCATGCCAAGTGATGTTGTTCAGTTGTTTTGCTATCGGTGGAAAAGTTGCCCATCTCTCTTGAACAGAAATCAAAGGGGTTTTTTTTATTGTAGGAGATGGGGTCGCCTGGTTTCAAAGATAGAGTTATCGAGAAAATGGCCACCAGCGTTTTGTTATTTTCATTGCTCGATAGTCCATAGAAACGGTTTACTTACTTTTCGTGCCTTTAATCAACGTTTTTTTTAGTAGAAAAAATCCCCCCAGAAATGTGTTCATAACTGGACAACAATGGTGATAAGCCCAAAAGCAAAAATTTGATAAATATTGCCAAACTCTCAGAAAAATGCTGGTTTCTTCAATGTCATTGTTTTGAAGAGCACCTGATTCTACCGCGTCTTCACAATGTAACAATATAAGGTTGTTAGCCGTTTTCAGAAGTTCATTTTGGATTTGGATTTCTGTGTGCTGTCATTCTAATTGTTCTGTGCAGGCAGTTTATGCACATTGCACAATATCAGAGAAAGTTGAAGAGCAAAATTACAATGTAAACAAAGTACAGAAGTTTGCTAAAAACCAAGAGACAATGACCGACCTTGTATCCTGAACGACAGTGCATCACCCTTAAAGCATGAAATTAATTTCTGAAATTATCTTCTGAAAAAACTCGCGGCGGATTACAAAGATGCGTACTGAAACTGAAAATGCCAAGTTATTGGATTTTAGAAAGTGGACACGCAACGGAGTATGAGGAGAGCTTCACTTCTGTACTCCCGTTTGAATTGAGAACGTAGTATCTGGAAAAAATGTTTTGTAGGACAATAGGGAGGGAAAGTCTTTCATTCTGCTTTTTCTAGTAGAAGGTTTTACGGCGCTCGCAACTGCATGAGGTCATATGAGCGCTTGTCTGCTTTAATTTCTACACAAATTGTGATTATCCAAATGAAAAGTGATTCCCTTTAGTTTCTTATTATTGTAAGTCTGGGATTTAAAAACGAAAATAAGAACATCTTCTAACTTTGTACACATTATCTTTTAAAAGTCGAATGCCCTGGAATGGTGAGTACCTGGTTTTTCTGTTTTTCATTTAAATGGCATCGTAGACCCTATACTCTTCAATTGAAGACGACAAAAGGTTTACAAGTACAAGTCAGCGTCCTTATCTTCCCCTCTTCTTTTCTTATGTTTGTCACTCTCTTGTAACACCTCTAATAATCTGGCGCTCATATGACCTTATGCAGTTGTGAGCGCCGTAAAACCTCTACTAAAACTAAACTAAACAAGTCGGCAAATATTCAGCAGTTAGCCATCTCTGACGTTAGGGCAAATTGATACGCCTAAACGACGCAAGTAGTACTGCTTCGTATCATCATTTCGTCGAAGGCATTTACAAAGATAGTGAAATTACTGTTTTAAAAGAATTATAATTTTCCTTAATTTTATAGGCCCGTCTCGATAAATTAATTATCTGGTTGTCAGAAAGAATTAAGCATTTGCCCTTCTAAAATTAGATGTCAATAGATACCAGGAATCTGGCTCTACGAATAATGTGCCTATTAATGTTTACTGTCTGAGTTAAATTTTTCGTCTTATTTTCTTGCTTGAATCTAAAACTCCATTCCAAGTAAGTTGACAGCTGAGAGAAACGACTAACACTTTGTCGTTGTATACAGGAATCCCAGTCCGGCATGAGAAATTGGTCAGTGCTTTGGCTGACCATTCTTATGCTGGGGTTGCATGGTGATTTTTGGTCTGGCATTACGACAGCTTGTACAATGTGCT